GCCCGCCCGCCGCTCTTAAGCCTCCCGGCTCAGCCGCCCGTGTGGGAGAAGGAAGGGCGCACCAGGGAAAGGCCGAGAGAGCGGGATTTTTCTCAGCCTTGCTCCCAGAGGTTAAATTAGTTGATGCAAGACAGGAAGACGACACGCTCTCATAATTAAACTTTGACAAGTCAGGGTAGATCGCTGCTCTGAAGCAGTAATTGCATCTTATTTTCATCAAGCATTAGGCAGAGTAGTCAATATTAAAGAGTATTTTTAGTGAAGGTTTAAGTATTCCTGTCTGCTGTTGGAATTCTCTGTGAATACACGTTATCAGAGAGCACAGCCGGACTTGTCTGGATCCGCTGACTGTCTGGAGCCAGACACGGCCTCCAAGAGCCTCCCCCCGCTCCTGCTGCTGGAGAAACCCTTTTCTCCATCCCTCCGTAACGAGCTCTGCTAAAGCAGAGCTTGCCTTCACGAGCACGTCCACCGATAAAGCTTCCACTCATAAAGCAAAACCATACGGACCATCTACAGCCACAAGTCCCATTCATGAGCTTTCTGAGGTCACTCAGAGATATCCATCCATCAGAATTCATCCCTGAGGCAAAGAAAAACCAACAGTTACCATTCGTGGCCTTCAGTTCAGCAAGAGAATCAACACGGCTACGGTGCTTATGAAAGTGCACAGGCTCCAAAAAAAGAGAAACAGAAAAGCTCAAGTCCTCAGTCTGCAAGCCCTACCTAACAGAAGAGACAGCCTGCTCTCCCGCTGTGCCTTGCCACAGCCAAGCCCCTGGCTTCTCTCTTTTTTTTTTTTTTTTTTTAAACAAACAGCATCTGCCAGGAATCCAGGGCTCTGTCAGTAAAGCCAGCAGTCAAGCAGAGCAAGCTCACAGGGACAGCTGTGAGGAAGAAACGTTGCTCAAGGGAGAGCAAATTTTTACCGAGGCCACTGCTTTTCCTTATCTGTCAGAGGAACGTAGATCACGCCCATCAGCTGCGTTTCGATGATCTGCCCGTCGCTGGTTTTGTCGTACTGCATCAGAACTTGGTTTGCGCCTTCGGGACCAACAGGCAATATTAACCGACCTCCCGGCTTCAATTCGTTCAGCAGCTGGCAAGCAGAGAAATCAGAATCAGCAGAGCAAAAAAAAAGAGACAACAGAAATAAGCCACGCTATGAAAGTCATGACACCTTGAAAAGCCCAAGCTTGCCAGCTCCCTATAAAACGGACAGAAAAAGCAGCTTCCAGTGGTTCCCCAGTTATTAGTTTTTTCACAGCTACTGACGCAGGCAGCCCACAGCAACAGCATCCAGCACGATCGCTCTTACCTCCTTCGGGACAGTGGCTGCGGCTGCCCCAACGTGAATGGCATCGTAAGGAGCCTCTTCGGGGTATCCCTGCCTGCCATCTCCAACTACGGGAGGAAAAAGCACGCAGCAGAGATTTGTTCTGATAACAACTCCACACAAAAATAATTCTTCCTATAGCCTTTCAGTTGAAATCTAGATGATGGAAACTGTAACAAGACTGTGATGGGATTTTGAATGTTGTTGGTTTACTTTTTAAAAAAAGGGGAGAGATTTCTGCAACTGAGCCACGCTAGGAGGAACAGTCAAAGCCAGGAGGGCCTTTCAATAACACCGTGGCTTTGCACAGACGCGAGGTTCCAGATAGAGGAAGAGCTGACTCAAGTTACCCTCCCAAAAACCCACAACAACGTCTGCAGACCCATCCAAACAAACTAAAACCCAGATGCGGCACGACCACTCTCCTCTGAAGAGTGCCTCTTTCTGAATTAAGAGTCACCGCACACTTGGAAGTCAGGTGTACAATAAGACTGCCTGTAACGTTCAATACTACTTGTTTACACCGTAGCCTTCAGCTCTGCAGGCAGCCAGAGCTCCCGCGTTCACAGGAGAGGACGAGCATCGGGATCCCAGGGAGCTCACCCACAAGCTTCACACGGCCAGAGCTGAGCAGAGTCGGATCGTCTTCTTGGACATTCCTGACGGATTCATGTACCAGCTCTTTGATGTGCTCTACGCCCACAGCCTTCCCTGTTGGGCCCATCTAGAAAGAAAAACAGCAAACACGTATATACCTCCTATATGGCAGAGATGTATTTTATAGGGCAATTACTGTGGGGACTGGAGAATCTCCAGGAGGAAACTCAAGACCAGAGTTTCTGAACAGGAGGTGCAAATACTCCGCCCCCTTGGTTTTAAGGCTGAGTAGCCCCAGTTAGATTAGCGACGTGAGGAATGCCCAGACACTGCCCACAGGGATTCCCAGTAATCCTTCATTGCCAAAGAAATAATTATTCGGTAAAATTAGCAGCTTCTGTGGCAGGGCCGGTTCTTGACTGACTAACCTGAAACGAGGATCTTGACCAGCTTTCTAGCACTTCACGGAAAGTAATTTCAGGAGTTCAGAAAACAAAGCAGCAGAGTGTGACTACTCAAGAAGCAAACTAAAAAGAACCTACAACGGACTTACAAAGTAGATTAACACCCCCCCTCGATCTGAACTGGGTTAACACACAAAACACCTCACGGCAGATACAGCATCTATTTAGATTCCAAAAATTACAGTATTTCTTCTTACTACAAGCTGGCGTGGGAAGAGTTTAGCCCTTTCCCCCACTCCCGTCTCCCCCAAGAAGCACACCCAGCTATGGCAAGCCACCGGTCCCCATGCACCTCACTAGCTACAACCGGAGTCCCGGGAGCTTACCATCCGGGCAAAGCAAGCGGTAAGGTATCCGCTTCCAGACCCAACATCCAGCGCTTTTGCACCTTCCACAAGCTGATCCTTTAGCAATTCCAGTGCATGGGCATGCTGCGTGGACAACAAGTACAAGACGGTGTGAAACATCCCATTTTAGTTTCCTCTCCTAAAACTTTTTCTTGTTCTAAGCACTACCTGCTCCGATCTAAGCACAGCACGCCTGGCCTTTTGTCTGACGCATTCGGAGTGAAATTCAAGCGCTTGGCCTGGCAGACCTTTTTGCAGAACAGCATTTAGGAAGGGGTTCAGTAAGAAGATGTGAAGCAGCAGGAAAAAAGGTCTCGTGCAAAAAACGGACGACATTCACGGTCAGCCGCAGTTGTGCGGAATTCCTATCTAAGCACGCTTTTAAAGCAACTTAAAGAGTACAGGGCAAACTAATCTTAATAAGAAAGAAGCTTCACATATGCACTGCCTAAAGAAACAAGCGTGATAATCACATCCATGGGATCTGTTTCACCTTTCTGCTTTAGCATTTAAGAAAAAATAAGACAAAAAATGGCAAACAATTTCCTCCATTTCTGTTAAAAGGAGAAAGTTTCACCTTACCATATGTGGTGCACTGATCGTAGCCTTGTATCCTGAAAGGGAACACGTGACAAAGGTTATGTGATAAAGAAATTACGGCTAACATTACCAATGTGAACAGTTCCTTATCCTCCCCCTCAAGAGAGGAAAACACTCTTTTCTGCCCTGGAGCCCTTCACCGACTTCCGATCCCCTCCCGTGGGACGGCTCACGAGCGCACGGCGGCTGCACGGTGCTGCGGGTCCCAAGCGCTCCAGCCTGCTCACCAAAACGCTCGGCGGCTCTCGCAGCCCACGCTCGCCTCCGCGCCTCAGGCAGGGCTCAGAGCAATCCGTGAACGTTTTGAACACGGAAAAGCCGCGTTGCTCTTCCCTCTGGATCCCATGGTTGAAACACGGATGGGGTGTGCTCTGCTTGACCCATCGTAAAACCTGGCCGCCGTTCTGGGCGTAGAGCTCCCAGCACGGAGAACTCGGACCTGCCGAGCCAGCTCGCGCCCCTCTGTCAGCGCGGCGGGCGTAGTCGGCGCGCATGCCGTAACGGTGGCGATGCTGTGCCGCAAGTGACTCACCGATAGACTGGGGAGAATCCATGTATGGGAAGTATTTGATGTAGTGACCTCTGTCAGTGGCCAACAGCACATCGAAGACTCGCTGGGATTTAATTATCCCTTTTTCTGGGAGAAGAAGGAAAACAGAGACAGAAAGGACTTAAATCCCTGGTACTGTAGCAAGAGGGGGTTTGGAAAGGGGGAGGAGAGTTCAGGGGGTTGGTGGAACTGGGAGAATTCAGCCTTAATAAGCGATCCGAGAAGGGGCAGAAGACAAAGCCCAGATGGAAGCGAATCCTTTTCCGTCTCTGCGGCAGCAGCTGAAGTCACGCCACGGGCCCCGCCACCAGCTCAGCCTCCCCGGGACGGTGACTTACCCCCACAATGCTTCTGGGGCTGCCAAACGTAAGGAAAGAGAAACAGCCACGCTTTCCCTCCTGAAAGCGGAGCCTCCGGTTCAGGTTTCAGGAGCGCTGGCATGGTGATTCAACTAAAGTTATGAGCGATGGCTGCGGAAACAGCCAACACCCCTTTGCACCTCATCTCTGAGGGAAAAACCAGGAAACCAGCTTATAGGGGAAAAACCAGCTCGGGCAGCAGGGGAAATCAAAGCCATTTTTAGGCGGGTTGCTGCCCGAGCAGGGGGTGGCACCAGGCGCCGCTGCGGCCCCGTGGCCTCTCCCTGGTGGGGAGGCACAGCCTGCCAAGGAGCTCAGCGTCTACAGGCTCACGGCAGCATCGCGCCGCGTTTTAAAAGGCGGCGTGCGTTTTGCGCTCCAGCGGAGTGGAAGGCAGGCTGCGGGGAGTCTTCCCTGCCACTTCGGGCATGACATCACGTTTCCAGTTATAAATAGAACGAGTTCAGACTGGGACAAATACTGACATTGGGGCAATATAACTCCAGCACCTCAGAACGAGCAGCGACACAAGGTGTAGCGCTGAATAACCTTACGCTAACGCGCCTGCGGATCCTGTCAGCAACTGCAGGCCGTGCTCCGAAGAGCGGCCCGCGGCGGTACTCACTGTAGAGGTTGTTGACCAGCTCCGGGTGTGTCTTCCCGCTCGAAGTCCAGGCCATCGTCCTGGCGAGGAGCAGTCCCATGAGCGCGGCGCAGGCCAGCGGGCAGCGCATCCCACGCAGACGGGCAGCTGAGAGAGGGCACGCGAGACCGGAACGTCATCGTTGTAACGTGACCTTGCGCTGCCGTTCCAACTACGCCAGCGTCCGCACGTTACACGGGACGGGCTGGCAGAACCAACAGCTCTACCGTCATTATGGGCAAGAGCTGTCAGAAATAATTACCGGCCACAATTAAAACGGCAAATCGTACCTAAGGCAGCTGCTTCAGGCTGAGCCCTCGAAATCCCAGCCCCGGGGCCGGGCGGCGGGCACAGGGCCGGGGAGAAGCCCTTCACCGCCGGGGGGTCAGGGTGGCACCCGCCAAGGGCCGGGCACCGGGAGGGGACGAGGCCTGCGCCCCGGCGGAGGGCACAGCGGCGGGGAACGGGGCGGCACCTCCTCGGAAAG